CTGAGGTGAAATCCAGGAACCCTCAGCCCCAGGCTGAGCTCAGACACTCCCTGGCCCTGAGGTGAAATCCAGGAACCCTGGGCCCTTGAGGCCCTCAAGGCCCCACAGGGTGGGCAGGCCCAGCGTGTGGCCGCCCCAGGCCCGTGGAGACCCTCAGGCCGGGCCTGTCCTGGGCCTGCAGGGCCGTGTCCTGCTGGGCTGTCCCCACGGCCACAGGACACAGGAGACGCTGCCCCAAGCGGGGCTGGTCTCTCCCTCCATGTCCCTCCTCCCTGCAGGGCACTGTGGTGCCATGGCCGCCACCAGCGGGGACAGGCCATGAGGGCCGGGGCCATGTTGAAGGCCGGGACCATATTGAGGGCCAGGGGCTGCCCGCCAGGGTGTCAGCCCTGAGAACAACATGAACTTCAACGTCTGGAATATCAAGGAGATGCTGAGCATGCCGACAGCCACGGGGTGAGTGCGAGCGAGGAGCGTGGGTTGACGGACAGGGAATGGGTCATGAAACCAAACACTTGGTGGGGGTGATGGTGAAGAGGTGAAACATGCCCAGAACTGATCTATGGCTGATTATGGGAGGCTAATGGCAGTTCATTGGTCTCCCCTGTGATCCTGTTTGTGCCCCCAGCCTGCTAGGAACTGCCACAGATCCACCACTGCCGGGGATCTAAAAGCCAGCATTGTCTGGAAGCCATACCCTGGTCCATTCGGGGTGTATTTGGTGAAGTCCTGTGACCTGTCCTTGTGTCATTAGATAATTAAATTTTTCTCTCCCCTGTGCAGAGGGCAGATAAAATGAAGCGTGATGTGCAATATTATTACACATTATGTAACTTGAAAATTATTCCATATCCTGCATTTATACGCATGGCTTGTTTTTTTCCCAGCAGGAGCCAAAGAGCAGCTAGAACTCCCCACATCTACAGCCCATAGTGAAACAACAAATATTCAGGTGTAAACACCTGGAGGGCAAATATGTAAGACAAGCTGCCTTTTGTACAGCAGAGCATCACCTTTTGTATCACATGACTGAAAAAGACAGCGGGATTTATCCCCTGTTTGGCTCTGGAGAAGCTAATTGGTGAATTTGGTGCTCTGAGCCTCTGTTAGT